TTTATTTTTTCCACTAAAGTCCTTCCTAAGCATGTAATGAGCATTAAAAGCAAAGGGTCTAGCATGCTTGGGTAAGAGTTGTGGTGGTGGAGTTTGACACTCATGGGCAAAGTGACCTTCTTGTCCACACTCAAAACACCTCTTTGGCTTTGGCTTTGACTTGTGTTGTGTTGTTGTTGAGCTTGAGCCTTCTTCTCTTGATTTGCCAAATACCCAATTCCACTTCTATCCATCTTCATGACGGTGTTTAAGAGTATCTCACTTTGAAGATGTTGACCTCTTGTGAATTTTCTCAACCCGGTCTTGAGATGTTCTTTTTCTAACTTGAGCTTCTTGTTCTCTTCTTTGAGTGCATCATAATTTTTCTCTATCTTGAGTCTCTTGTTTTCTTCTTTGAGCTTCTCGTTCTCTTCTTTGAGCTCATCATGATTTTTCTCCATCTTGAGTCTCTTGTTCTCTTCTTTGAGCATCTCATTCTCAAGATCCATATCATAATCATGATCAAGGTTCTCTATCACAATAGTGTTGGTGGTTGATAGCTTTTCAAGATTTTTGTTGAGCTTTTCATTCTCATGCTTGAGCTTGACATACTCATCATAATTGTCGGTCTCAACCACTTTCTTGCCTTTGCCACTAGATCCTTGCTCAATGCTCTCAACAATTAAGTCATCATATGATGTAGCTATATCAATCTTAACAATATGGTTAGTAACATCATGTGGCTCATTGGATAATAAATCATGAGAGACAACAAGATTATCATGATTAACCTTGAGATTTATGTACTTTTCTTTTAGCATATTGTAGCTAGTGATGAGCTCATTTTGTATCCCCTCAAGTTTATCATATTTTTCTTTAAGCTCCTTTTTATAAGATTTAAGCTCCTTGAGTTTGGATGACATAGTTTTATTTTCTTCTCTAAGCTCAACACTAGCCTTTTCAACTACATCATATTTAGCTAAGAGAGAATCATTCTCAAGTTCTAGCTTCTCATTTTTTGCTCTTGTCTTTCTAATGATTTTAGTACATTGGTTAACCAACTTGACAAGATCATCATAGAAAGGTGATTCAAATTTATCATCACTATCACTATCATCATTGCTAGCATGATCATCACCCTTACTATCATCATCATTTTGTACCTTCCGATCACCCTTGGCCATAAGGCATAGATGTGTAAAGGATGATGGCGGTGGTGTTGGTGAAGATAGTGAAGAGTCAATTACAATGACGGCCACCTTCTCGTTCTAACTTTCATTATCGGATGAGCAACTTGATGAATCAATATCGGTGAGCCAATCACCAACGATGTATGCCTTGTCATTCTTCTTCTTCTTGTGGAAATCCTTCTTCTTGCCATCTTTCTTCTTATATAGCTTGTTTTTCTTCTTCTCATCATCATCTTCATCACTTGAATCATTTTCTTGCCCTTGTACTTCTTTTTGTATTTATCTTTCTTTGGCTTGGGGTATTAATGTGCTAGATGACCAAGTTCTCCACAATTATAGCAATCCATCTCTGAGATGGGCTTCCTTCTATTGCTAGTGAAGAATTTTTTTTCTTGCCATCAAACTTGACGCCGTTCTTGTTGAGCTTCTTAAGCATCTTGGCGGCCTTTCTCACCATGAGAGCAAGACTTGCATCATCAATTTCATCATCACTTGAGCTCTCATGATCAACTCTTGCTTTTTCCTTCTTCTCTTGGCTAGCCTTGAATGCCAAGTCTTTCTTTTTGATGGAAGAAGAAGAGCCATCTTGTGGTGTGATGTGCACATACATCTCATGTGCATTGATTTTTCCTAAGATTTGAGTTAGTGTAGCGGTGGAAAGATTACCTTGATGAAGCACGGTCAATGGGGTAGCGGTGGAAAGATCTTTCACAATATGCCCATATTTATCAATGGGGATGACACTCAAGATCTTTCTTACAACATCGGATGGTTGCATTTGTGTAAGTCCAAACCCATTGACTTCCTCTACAAGAATATTTAAGCGTGAGTACATCTCATTAGCACTTTCTTTAGGAAGCATCTCAAATGAATTAAGCTTTTTCATGACAAGATGATAGTGTTCCTCACGCTCACTCTTTGTATCCTCATGGAGCGCACAAATATCCAACCATAGAGTATGGGTGTCATTGTGGTTCCTCACATGGTTAAACACAAATTTGTAAAGGCCTCTAAAGATGGTGTTTCTAGCCTTTGCATTCCATTTTTCGTAATTAACTTCATCGCCTTGAAGGTTTGTGGGTTCCTTAGGTTTTGGGAATCCTTGTGAGGCGGCTCTAAGAATTCCAACATCTAAAGCTTCTAAATAAGCCTCCATGCGGATTTTCTAACATCTCCCTCAAAGATAAGAGGAGGTCCATCCCCGTGAGACATCTTTCTCTAGGCGGTTAAGCCTAATTTAGTGAGCATGAGGTTCCAATACCAATTGATAGGATCAAGATGCCCAAGAGGGGGTGAATTGGGCTAATTCTAAAATTTAGCCCACTTCACCCCTTGTGCCTAGAATGTGTTCCTATTGTTCTACTGCACAAAAGTTTTGCAACCTAAGTTCCAATCATACTCTAAAATGGTAATTCTAGGAATGTAAAGACACAAAATGAATTGTTCAAATGTAAATGCTTAAAGTAAAGAGAGAGAAAGAAACACGGCAATGTTTTGCCGAGGTATCGGAGAGTCGCCACTCCCCATTAGTCCTCGTTGGAGCACCCGCGCAAGGGTGTAGCTCCCCCTTGATCCGCGCAAGGATCAAGTGCTCTCTACGAGCTGATTCTTCGACACTCCGTTGCGGTGAATCGCCCACAACCGCTCACAACTTGAGTTGGGTCATCCACAAGCTCCGTCAGATGATCACCAAACTCCCAATCACCACCAAGCCGTATAGGTGATGGCGACCACCAAGAGTAACCAGCACAAACTCTCACTTGACCACAACAAGCCTAATAAAAAGGGTGGATGCACACTTGCTACTCTCCTTGCACTAATGAGGCCTTAATCTTGGATTCTCAAATCTCAATCACCTCACTAGGCTCTTGCCTTCTCTGCACTCTCAAGGGTGTTTCTCAGCTGAACAAATGGGCAAGAGACCTCCCTTGGACGAGTAGAGTAAGTATTTATACCTCCTCATTCAAAACATAATATTTGGAGGCTAAGTCATCACTCTACGGGGTGACTGGATGCTCCGGTCAGGGTGACCGGACACTCTGGTCAGTTATCCCCGCCACTGTGTTCGAAAGAGCCGTTAAGTTCTGACTGGACTCTGACCTGTGTCCAGTCAGCACTGACCGGACGCGTCTGGTCACAAAAAGCGCTCTCTAGAACCTTACTGATGTTGACCGGACGCTGGCACCTAGAGTCTGGTCACTTCGCTGTTCAGCGTCCGGTCAGTTATCGGATCCTGACCAGCATTCGGTCAGCACTGACCGGACGTGTTCGATCAGGAATCTCCCTCTTTGGAACCTCTCTGGAGTTGACCGGACTCTGGCACCCAGCGTCCGGTCACTTTTCACTCAGCGTCCGATCGCAACCTGACGGCTCCAGTTGATCAAATGAACTGACCGGACTCACCCTTCAGCGTCCGGTCACAACCAGACCAGCGTCCGGTTAGTCATTTGACCCTTCATTCACTTCTAACTTGAAATCATATGTGAATGAAGTTTACTCCAATTGATCTTAGGGCTACTCCTGAGCTACCTAGTGCTAAATTTCATTAGTGTGCACCACACCTAACCCACTAGACTCACCTAGATCAAGCTAATAGTCCATACCCCCCTTAATAGTACGACCAAAGAAAAAACAAAGTCCTAAACTACTCTAAGTGTCTCTTCAACACCAAACGACACTTAGAACTAATCCATCCTTAACCTTGTCGTCCATCCTTTGAAAATCGAAATGATTTCCATCGTAGGGGCATGACAACCATGATTGACCAATCAATTGTCATTACCATGACCTAACTTAAATTACCTCTGCAAAACACACGTTAGTCATAGTAATCTCGTATTGTCATTAATCACCGAAACCCAATTAGGAGCCTATATGCTTTCAGAAAGGAATGCCAGACTCTTCCGAGGGGCGGTGACACAACCATCAGAACTGCTGGCGCTGATCGGGCATCAAGCCGGGCTTTGAGTGGAAGCCGGGGCTAAAGGCCTAGGGTGTTTGATGCAGCGAGTAGTCAGCTGAGTGTGTGAAATGGGTAGGGCCTTTTGCTTTGTTGATTATCTTCAGAGCCCTACCATTGTAATGAACCAAAATTTACTTTATCTTAATACAAAAACGCGCAAGTCTTTTGCGTGATCAAGAAAAAAAGCTAAATTACAGTTGTATTTGTCAGCCTAAAGCTAAATTAGAGAATCCAGTTACATCTATCAATGCAAATATATCGTTTACTACCTTTCACCATCTTACTTTTTGAACACCATATGTTTTTGTTATTCCTCTCTCATCTCTATGGTGTGAGGGAGCGCTCTACCCGGCCTACCAAACCAGCAAACCTAGGGCACACTCTAAGTGAGCCTCTTCGATAAGTACCTTTCAAGAGATATTTGTAAGTTTCCGTGGTGATTCTGCGTCTAGTTTTGGACATCAGCTAGGTCGGTTTTTGATTTTATACTTGAGTGATCTGAACCATGCATCCTCGTGATATCCGATTTGCGTCTAACAATATATAAGATGAAATCCACTGAACTACACCATCCGAATGTGACACTGACCAGGAGGCCCCGCCTGCAGGCAGTCTAGTGGGCCCTTCAATAGCACTAGCAATGTGCACTCATAGGCTGTTGACGGTCCTCCAGTGTCCACTAATAAGAAAGCAAAAGGACTAAAGCAGTAAAGCCTCCACTATATATAAAGAACGGGAAGCACTACCATCAGGAAGGAGCTTGTAAAACTCTCCTCGAATATCATACCCAGACCCCTTAAAAATAGCTGAAAATCAGAGCTCACCCCCAAAGACTTGCAGAAGAATCACTGAGGCAGTGGTGGCCGGAGATGCTGGTGGTCGACCTGGGCGTATGGCTCATCCCGCTGACGTTCGTCCTCGTCCCGTGCCGCCGGATCGTGCTCCTCCTGTCGAGGCTCGAGGAGCTCCGCCGGAGCATGATGACGAGGCCGAGGCTCCCCACGGCGGACATGTGGACCCGCTTCGCCACCCTCAACTCCATGGCTTTCATGCTGTGAGCCTGTGACGGTACTAAGTAGATATATCGCTGCTGCCTCTTACTCTTAGCCATATCCTCTTTTGGGTCTGTTGATGAGTGCTACCGCTATATCTGCTATGCTGTTCTGGACTTCTCTGCTTTTGGCTTCTATGTACAATAATCTCCAGTATACGACTTACCTTATGTTAGGACTTGCCGCGATATGTATATATATGTAACGAGATACATATGAGACTAGAACGCATATGAAGTGAATTTCCTGATCTTGATATGATACGTATATCTTGCTTCGGTTTCAGAATGAGGATTTCCTGCAATATATATGCATCTTCTTCTCACCGGATAGCATTTCCTCTGTGATCTTGCGTTGTATTGCTATTTACCCTAAAGAATAGTGACAGAGCTAGATTATCCAAGGGAAGAGAGGATAAATATAAGATGCAGCAGTTAAAAATATTGTATCACTTAAAATAAACAAAGCCTTAGAGATAAGAGTAAGAATCAAGCTGGCTAGATTGCGCAGATTCCGAAGAGCATCCTTTGCTCAGTTGGTAAGTACTGTATGAACGAAGCTAGTTGTTGTAAACAGATCACTGTACTGATGATAGATGGAGTCAACCTACTGATGATGCAGAGAAGGATGCATCACATATAGGAAGCTTTGGTGTTGGAAGTTTTCAACATATTTGGATGGCGCAGAAGAAATAGGATTGAGGCTTCATTCTTCTGTTTGTTGTGATGTCTTGTGTTATGCATATGGTGTGGATGTTAGCTTAACTGCTTAAGTGATGTTGCTCTTGTTTTAACAGCTATACTAATGCTGGAGGCCTGAATATTTTTATTTTTTAAGTAAAAAAGTACTCCATAAAATTAGTATGGGAGGAATGTCTGCCTCTTTTTTTTTTTTTAATGTCAAACTCTTGTCCCCCATAAAAGGGACATTGCTGTTATCGTCTAGGTGATAAGGTCGACCCAGGAGAGCACAAAGTCCGACCCACTGAGCAATGTCTACACTAGATCTATTATTCTCCAAAATATGGAATGCACGAAGCTACACGGCCACCACAGTCTCGACTGAAGCTCAACGCAGTGCCATAGATGCTACGTCAGGCAGCATGTCCAGAGACGTCCTCTATCAACAGGTAGATCAAACTTCTTGGAGGGCAATGGGCACTAAGAAAGTTGATACCGACCATTAACAACCTGATCCTTTTGCAATCAAATCAACAGTTGCAACCACGAACAATTTAGGAACGGAAGGAATAACATAGAGTATTCTTACGCTGTTGCTACACTACTGTACTGAAAAAATATAATGCTGAGCATCCAACAATCGGAGAGGTAGAATAAACCTGGTCAGTGCAGCCTGCAGTAGTGCAGTTCGACTGTGCCTCATCATGTCAAGCTCCAGATTGCACGACCTAAAAACACAACACGAATCGTCTTCAGTTTGACCCGATCCAACGCCGGGGTTCGATTTCCCAACACTATCACCAGGGAGAGTGGGAGACGAATCGCCAAACTGATTGAGACGAGATGGGGCTGACAATCCAACTACAAGATTTGGATCGAGACCTGCCTTCCTAGTTTTTTTTTTTTTTTTTTAGAAAAAGACTTGCCTTCCTAGTGGTTACGGCGGCTTGGAGTTGGAGAGCAGCCGGGCTACGTTTCGTGGGCCGAACCGACATGGGTACTATGGGCCGGGCTTGTTAGTTGGTCTACAAGAGTACGTGTGCTTGTTTTGTTCTTGGCCCCTCCCAGCGCTTCTGCAGTTCTGCTTCCGCTGCATGGTGAAGAGGTTCACGGCGGCTGGCGGCAGGCCGCAGGCATGCTTCTGTTCATCTGTTGGATGATGCCGACGTCATCGAGGTGGCAAGGCGCAGCGAGAGCTGCACGGTCTGGACATGCCTCGTCGGCGCGCAGCCTATGAACGCGTTTCCCATCATGACGTGTAACGAATCTAAATCAACCACGTAAAGAAAAAGAACATATGCTCCCTCTTTTTCTCTCTCTCGCGCACTCAAAGCATCAAACCATACGGACTTTTCCCAACAAATTCAACCACCAATAGATCCATGTACAGATAAAACAAACAGTGCCAATGGTAGCACGAGGAGACTGAGCTCTGACCTCTGACCGACCAGATTGCTCTTGCAGCCTCGTTCCTGCATAACTCGATCATTTGCATCTAGAGGCGTGACGCTGAATCACTTGATTGATTGATTCAGTTTCATTATGTTACCTGCGTCTAGCCATCTATAACTTCAAAGGAGTAGAACAGACCGTGTAATTTCACTTTTCCTATAGAACAGTCATCTGAAATCTATGTTTCGGTCAGGCGATGCTTTATCGATCTGTTGAATGGAGCAATGGACTTCTCCGTGTGCTCTGTTGGCTTAGCATTGGATGGAGATCTTTAGGCTTCTAGCCGTCGCCTAAACAGAGGCTATATTTCAGCAGATCCCGTGTAATTTAGGTTGCTACAACTGCTACGACATATACCTAAACACGTTGACGACCTTCACGTTCTTTTTTAACACGCAAACAAGCACAGTATTTACGAAGGGGACCGATTACCAGATATTCAGGTGATGGATAACCACGTACGCGTCGGCGGCGTGGCCTGCAGCCCGACGCCCCGACCACCACGGCTGACTGCACGCATCGCACGGGCTGGACGTCGATCGGTCGATGGCAATACGGAAGGCTACTGCGTAATCATTGCCGTCGCACGCGTGCGGAAACCCATCTTCGATTTGTCCGCATCATGCTCCAATAAACTGGTCACTCACCGCATACGAGCCTGCACGGCTGCACTTCACCAGAAGTTGTTGGCAGTGATGACACAATCAGCACTTCACTACTTTTCAAAAAAAAAAATCAGCACTTCATGGTCCCTTCGCTGAAAAGGTAGCTGAAAAATATTCAGCGCGTTCGGTCTGGTCCACTGCTATCGATGTTTTACCACCGATAGCCTGTTACGGGGGTCTCCAGGTGCAGTATTGTTCGGGCTTCAGCGTATGCGGAACTCGACGGTGAACGCAAGAGACAGTCGATTTATCCTGATTCAGGCCCTCGACTGTGGTCGAGTAACAGCCCTACGTCCAGTCGGCGTTAGCCTTTGCGTTGGATTGATTGTGTTGTAGAAATTCTGATCTCCCTTCTCTAGGAACCCTGCCCTCCTTTATATAGTTAGGAGGTCAGATTATTAGTCGGTTTACAATGAGAATTCCTAGTAGGATTACAAAATAATACTACTACTAAGATTACATGGGAAGAATCCTAGTTAGACTAGATCTTCTCTCTTTCTTGAGGGGTATCCAGTGGGTCCCGCACCGACAAGCCCCCTAGCACTTCATGGTTGAACTCCGGAAGCCTTGTCTTGTTCCTTCAGGTCCTGCTGAGCAGGAACAAGCGTCACCCGAGTGCTTTCTTGAGTGAAACCATGTAGCGCTTCTTGGAATCTTCGAGTGGTGTGTGCTTTTTTAAAGAAAAAAGTACTCCCATCTGGGTGTAGCCCCCGAGCCTCTTGCTATTTGGAACAAGGAGCTGGAGGGTCTTGTCCTAAAATTGCTCTGATTCTTCGTTGAAGGGCTCTCGAGCATACTATATCCGAGTTCTTTTTGGGTGGGTGCAATTTTTCGTAAAAATTGCACTCACTGAATGTAACCCCCGAGCCTCTTGCTTTTGCTTGCAAAAGTTGAAAGGTTCAGATTCTTGTCTTCAAAAAATTCTAGGGCTATGTATCCCGCAGCCCTGAGCCTTCTCCGAGTTCTTTTCTTTAGATAAGAAATCGGATGAAGGGTCTTGATGTGTTGTCGTCGTTGTAGTCTTGAGTTTCTTGTATTCTTGGTCCTTTGTCTTTGATTTTGAGCCTCCAGGAGTAGTTGAAACGAAGGCCGAGCCCCCGATCTTAGTGACATAATATATGAGTTGTTTTCGATCAATTTGAGTTGTTTCTGGACATGCATGATCTTCGTTGAAAGGTCTCCGAGCATATTCCCGGGTTCTTTATCAAGAAGAGCTTGGGTATAGCTCAGTCCGGCTTCTTTTTGTCGTGAGTCCTTGAAGTAGTTTTGTCTTGAAAAAGTCTTCTTGGTGACGTGCGCTTTTTTTGCTGACTTGTTTTTTGGTGCCTTGTCTAGTTCTCCGAGTTGAAAAGCAGAAGCTCTCAGAGAGTATCGATGAAATAAAGGCTCTTGTCCGCTCTAGTCATAACAAGGCGGAGGAGGTAATTACTCATGCTGAGGAAGAACTCGCCCTTGCTAAGCTAGGTGTGGAGCTGACAGAGATCTTGTGCAGGCTCAAAGAACTATTGAAGACTTATCTGGCAAGTTGGCAACGGCTACCAAGAACTGGAAAGCTTTATGGAAATCCTTTCGTTCAGTAGCCGACGCACTCCGAACTCCAGCGGACGATGGGCAATCTTGGGCTCAGTTGAACCAAAGAGCAAAATGGCTGAAACATGTCTGAGCCTACCGGTCGAAAGCAAAATAGCCGAAAAAATGCTTGAGCCCACCGATGAGGGTAGCTAATAAGCTAACACCCGAACAACATGGATCAGGGAAAATTCAAGACGAGACCCTCCAGCTCCTTGTACCAAAAAGCAAGAGGCTCAGGGGCTACACTGAGGACACTTGAGATCACAAAGTCTGTCAAGGCAACGGTCTACACCGAGTTGTTTTATACGGCAAAGGCGAAAGCCAGACAAGAACTCAACATATCAAGAAAAGTTGTCAACATGCAGGGTTGTTTACATGGCAAAGACGAAGGCAAGACCAAGTACTCGGCAAGTCAAACAACTCTGATCACTTGGACAACTCATCCAAGGAATAAACCAGGCAACCAAGCAGAAGAGGTATCAACAAAGTGTCTTCATTCAAAAAAGAATATAACTACTCTGTTATAAAAAAAAATCAAAAGTACAGAGGTTGATTATGTTCAAGCATCATCATCAGGAGAGGAGATAACAACATTAAGATTATCTACAACTCTACTGGCTAAGTCTTTGACCTCAGGCTCCATCCGCTCAACGGCATCAATGTACTCTTGACTATCGGCTTCCTCTGCTATCTTGGACAGAGGCGCCTCTGGAGCAAGAACCCGGACCTGAGCCAAGACATTCTTGGTACACAGTTGGGCGCACCTCTTCACGAACTCTTGAAAACGAGTCGGAATTCGGGGAAATGCGCAAGATAAATATCATGGATGCACATGAACAAATGTCAGGGATGCTCGGGGAATGCACATGTTCGCTGTAGTTTGCATATTCCAATTTAAGCACTATTCAAATCACTTTACTTACCAAGTTTATACAACCTAATGTATAATTGCTCATCTTCAGTTAATGACCTAGCACC